TTTTAGTAGAGACGAGGTTTCACCATGTTGACCAGGATGGTCTCGATCTCTTGACCTCGTGATCCACCCGCCTCGGCCTCCCAAAGTGCTGGGATTACAGGCATGAGCCACCGCGCCCAGCCCACTATCTTGTTTTTCATATAATTAGAGTACTACCATGACATTTCTTTTTTGTGGGTTTTTTTTGAGACAGTATCTCTCTATTGCCCAGGGTGGAGTGCAGTGGTGCAATCCTGGCTCACTGCAACCTCTGTCTCCCGGATTCAAGAGATTCTGATGCCTCAGCCTCCTGAGTAGCTAGAACTAAAGGTATATGCCACCATGCCCGGCTAATTTTTGTATTTTTAGTAGAGACAGGGTTTCACCACATTGGTCTTGAACTCCTGGCCTTGTGATCTGCCTGCCTCAGCCTCCCAAAGTGCTGGGATTACAGGCATGAGCCACAGTACCCGTCCATTTAATAATTTAATAATAGCTACTATCTTGTTTTTCATATAATCAGAGTACTACCATGACATTTCTTTATTGTGGGTTTTTTGTTTTGTTTTGTTTTGTTTTTGAGACAAAGTCTTTCTCTGTTGCCCAGCCTGGAGTGCAGTGGTGCAACCTTGGCTCACTGCAACCTCCACCTCCCGGGTTTAAGTGATTCTCATGCCTCAGCCTTCCAAGTAGTGGGACCAAAGGTGGGTACTACCACAACTGGCTTTTTGTCTTTTTAGTAGAGACGAGGTTTTGCTATTTTGGCCAGGCTGGTATCGAACTCCTGGCCTCAAGTGATCCACCCACCTCAGCCTCCCAAAGCACTGGGATTACAAGTGTAAGCCACTGCACCCAGTCTGATATTTCATATTAGAGAAAAATGTATGTTTGTTATGACCTGATTATTTATGCTTAAAAATTCAAGTTGTTTGTTCTCCTTACTATTACAATTAGAATAATAGTAGATGGCTTTTTCACATAACCTGAAAAATAAGTTTTCTCTGTGATTTAGATCTTTCCCATGAATTTCCCATAAAAATATACCAACTTATCAATTTAAATATTATGAACACATTTTCAAAATGTTAAAATACGTTTTAAGGGAAACAGATTTCAGAGCTTTCTGATTAATCCTTAAAATTCCTGATGTGTCACATCTTTTTTATATATGTGTATATATATGAAATTATATATATGTTTTTGTTTGTTTTGAGACAGTCTCAAACTCCTGACCTCAGGTGATCCGCCCACCTCAGCCTCCCAAAGTTTTGGGAAAACAAGCATGAGCCTGGCCCATCTTTTTCCTATATAACTTTTTAAAATAAATTAAAAGTTGTAGATTTGGGGACAAAAAAATGTTCTAAAATTAAGTGGCAGGTGCCTGGAGTTCCAGCTACTTGGGAGGCTATGGCAGGAGGATCACTTGAACCCAGGAGTTCAAAGCCAGCTTGGGCAATATAGCAAGATCCCATCTCTAAAAAACAAATGAATAAATGAAATAAAATTTACTGTGGTGACTGACGGTAGAATGTCTCTGTGAAAGCACTAAAAATCATTGAATCATGAATACTAAATGGCTGACTTATATGGTATATGAATTATATTGCGATGACACTGTTCTCTTGGTTTTGTGTTTTTGTTGTTTATTTATTTATTTATTTTTTAAAGACGGGGATTCACCATGTTGGTCAGGCTGGTCTTGAACTCCCAACCTCAGGGGATCCGCCCGCCCTGGCCTCCAAAGTGCTTGGATTACAGGCGAGAGCCACCGCACCCGGCCGGTTTTGTTTTGTTTTTTAAGAGACAGGGGTCTTGTTATGTTGCCCAAGTTGAACTCAAACTCCTGGACTCAAGTGATCCTCCCACCTTGGCCTCCTGAGTAGGAAATATAGGTCTGCACCGCTGCACCTGTTTTGTTTTGGTTTTTAAGTTGCAGAGAATCCAAAATGAATAAATATCCCCGTCCATTTAAACTAGTATTTTCTCTCAAAGGACCCAGACTTCAGTTTTGTGTCTCTTATCAACTGTGTTCTATGTAAAAAACAAAGACAAAAAAAAAAATAATAATACCTTAGCCTAAGACATGTCTGTGGCCTCTTTTCTTTCTTTTTTTAAACCTGGCAGCAAAACCCTTTTGTCTTTGTGCTCTATATCCATGGTAGCAGTCTTTTCTAGTTAGAATTCTTCATGGTAGATGAGGATATAAACCAACCAACTTTGAAAGGCTTTACCTCAATTACCCAGATGCCCTGGTAGGACTCTTCTCTTGCTCCTTCTCCACTACAAACATGGACCTTGTCTATTTATTTTATAGGAGAAAGTTACCATTACAGTATAGTTTGCCTCAGTAACAGGCTCTCATTGGCTACCCTGACTTGTCAACCTGTTTCTCTTTGTGCAGGCCCGACTCTTCCTATGTGACTTGAGCTAAAGCAAAAGGCTCAAGTTCAAACTGAAAGCTCCCCATTCCACAAGAGTGAAAAAATAACCCCACTGTCCCCCTAACTTGAACCTCAATAAAAATAGATCACCACAAAAACTGGAAGTACTCCTTAGTCTCCTCCCTTGAGTTTGCGGCAGACTTCCAGATACTTCCAAAACCACACAGTAATGAAATACACTGCTCTTTTGGCTATGTTACAGTGATTTGGAGAAGGCTTCTAGAATGTAGCAGATGTAGACACTTCCTCTCCTGGGCTCCTGCCAAAGCACAAGGCTTTTTCAAAAGCCTGAGCTGTCTGAAGAGTCTAGAATTTTCTGTTTAAACAGATTTCTATCATAATTTTCTTCATGAATAAACGCTATTTGCAGAAAATATAAATGTTTTCACTGTACTCACAGAAGGCTAATCACAAAGGTTGTCTAAGCTTTTAACTCTGATAAGAGAGTTTAGATTTGTCAGAAAAGAGGTTATTTTGCCATTGCTAAAATATATTGTCACTAAAGTTTTTTTGTCATTTCTCATTGTCCTTAAATCTCACAAGGAATTAAAAGCCATTAGTCTACAGAAATAACTAAAAAGAAGCTTAAGATGGCATTTTTCTTTGACTATAATAGCTTCTTCTTCGAATACAATACATATTTTATATATAGATATACATTTTTTTTGCGGATCATAGGAAGTTTATTGTGTCTTTAAGAGACAATGCAGACTCCTTGTCAAGGGAAAGGTCTTTCAGAAACAGGAACCGCCATTTGGATGTGATGCTCATTTGTCATTTTCATAGGCAGCTGGATTCTTCCTCCTGGATCTCTCAAACTCTTGAGTCCCCCATGTGTAGATAAGATAAAACACTACAAACGGCCTCACCACGCAAAGGCCGAGTGTGGCGCAGCACGTTGGGGATTCCTTTAGAGAAGACGTGTGGGAAGGCACGCTGCTCTGAAAGGTGACAAGCTGTTATGAGATCACATGCCGCATCCGCCGTCAGATTCCCAAACTCGCAGCCCATGGTGGCGGTGGCCAGGGGTCACTTAGCCCTCCGCAGTCACCGATCCGGCAGACTCCTAGCTTGAAAATATTTTAAGAATGACAGAGCCAGAGCCAGACTGGGCACGGTGGCTCATGCCTGTAATCCCAGCACTTTGGGAGGCGATTGCTAAAATATATTGTCACTAAAGTTTTTTTGTCATCTCTCATTGTCCTTAAATCTCACAAGGAGTTAAAAACCATTAGCCTATGGAAATAACTAAAAATAAGCTTAAGAGGGCATTTTTCTTTGAATAGCTTCTTCGAATATTATATCTATACGTATATATGTGTGTGTATTTATTTATTTTTTTTTTTTGCAGACCACAGGAAGTTTATTGTGTCTTTAAAAGAGATAATGCAGATTCCTCTTCCAGAACTGTCATTAGGATGCATTGCTCATTTGTCATTTTCATAGGCAGCTGGATTCTTCCTCTTGGATCTCTCACTCTTGAGTTCCCGAATTGTAGATAAGAAAAAACACTACAAACGGCCGCACCATGCAAAGGAAAGGCTCCCGAGTGCGGCTCAGCACGTTGGGAATTCCTTTAGAGAAGACATGAGGGAAGGGGCGCTGCTCTGAAAGGTGACAAGCTGTAGGAGATCACATGCCGCATCCACGTCAGATTCCCAAACTAGTGGCCCATGGTGGCGGCCGCCAGGGGTCACTTAGTCACCGATCTGGTGGACTCCTAGCTTGAAAATATTTTAAGAACGGCAGAGCCAGGCCGGGCGCGGTGGGAGGCTGAGGCAAGTCGATCACAAGGTCAGGAGACCATCCTGGCTAATACGGTGAAACCCCATCTCTACTAAAAATACAAAAAATTAGCTGGGCGTGGTGGGAAGCCTGTAATCTCAGCTACTTGGGAGGCTGAGACAGGAGAATTGCTTGAACCCAGGAGGCAGAGGTTGCAGTGAGCCAGGATAGTGCCACTGCACACTCCAGCCTGGGCAACACAGAGAGACTCCATCTCACAAAAAAAAGGAGGAGGAGGAGGACAGAACCTATATAAAAATTCAAAACAATCACAGAAAGAAAGAATAAATAACTTTACCTTACATCATGTTTCAAAATTAATCAACAAAACAAAGTAAAACAAATAGCAACAATGGAAAAGTTATCAGATCGCTAAAAGCAGAGAGTTTCTAAACTTAATTTTAAGAAAATGGCCAGGCACAGTGGTTTGCACCTGTAATCCCAGTACTTTGGGAGACAAGAGGATCATTTGAGCTCAGGAGTTTGAGACCACACTGGGCAACACAGCAAGATCTCATTTCTATTAAAAAAATAAAAAAATTAGCTGGGCATGGTGGCACACGCCTGTGGTCCCAAGCTACTTGGGTGGCTAAGGAAGGAGGATCACTTGAGACCAGGAGGTTGAGGCTGCAGTGAGTCATGATCTTGTCGCTGCTCTCCAGCCTGGGCAACAGAGTGAGACCCATCTCAAAAAAAAAAATAAATAAATAAAAATCAGTAAGAAAACCACTATGATGCTAATAGACAAGTGGATAAAAAACTTGGAACTCACAAAAAATAACAGTAACTAGCTAGCTCAACAAAAAATGCTCAAACTTATTAGTAATTAATGACATAAAATACCATTTTTGCCCATCAAGTGAACAATTAACGAGCAAAATTATTTAATGACATTGTTATATGCCAAGAAACTTAAAATGAAAACACATCCTTTAACTTGTAGAGTTAAATGAAAAAACAAGATTTAACAATTATCAACATACAACCTTGGTGGAACCTATAGTGACTAAGATTATGTTTTCATTACCCCAACAGAAAGTTATAAATACTGATCAAAACAAAGAAAAAATTAACATTATAATATGGTTATAACTATGCAAGAACATAAACAGAGGAAATTCACCACAGTGTAACTGTCTCTGGATAGCAGAATAAGAGGTAGTTTCCTTTTACACCTCTGTATTTTCCAGACATCCTATAGTATATTTTATAGTGACAAAAAAATTAACTTTGTACAAAATAATAAATCTAAAGCATTAACTCTCATATTAAGGTACCCCAAACCTTTCAAGAAGTAGTTAATTATTCGCTAACAAATACTATAAGCTTTTGAGCATGTTCCATTTTCTAGTTCTACAAGCCTCTACATTTCACTTTATCTTCTTCAAAGTTACCTAAATCTAAACTGGGTGCAGTGGCTCACACCTGTAATCCCAACACTTTGGGAGGCTAAGGCGGGAGAATAACTGGAGGCCAGGAATTTGAAACCAGCCTGGGGCAACACAGGGAGACCCCAATTCTATTAAAAAATATTGAGGCCAGACGCAGTGGCTCATGCCTGTAATCCCAACACTTTGGGAGGCCGAGGCAGCCAGATCACGAGCTCAAGAGATCAAGACCATCCTGGCCAACATGGTGAAACCGTCTCTACTAAAAATACAAAAATTAGCTGGGCGTGGTGGTGGCGGCGCACACCTGTAGTGCCACCTACCCAGGAGACTGAGGCAAGAAGGCCTGAACCCAGAAGGCAGAGGTTGCAGTGAGCCAAAATTGCGCCACTGCACTCCAGCCCAGCAACAGAGTGAAAGACTCTGTCTCCAAAAAAAAAAAAAAAAAAAAAAAAATTAAATATAGCCAGGTGTAGTGGTAATCCCAGCTACTCAGTAAGCTGAGGCTGGAGGATCACTTGAGCCTGAGAGGTGGAGGCTGCAGTGGGCCCTGAATGTACCACCACACTCTAGCCTGGGTGACAGAGTGAGACTATGTATCTATAAAAATTATAGTAAAAATAAAGAGAATTTGAAAGCAACCCAATTATCTAACAGTGAACTACGCTGCCAGAGTAGCACGCTTTCCCATTCTATTTCCTCCTACAGTTAGATAAAAGACCCAGAGTAGGTCAGTCTTTGGCTTTCATTCTCATTAACGTAACGGTTGCGGGATGGCCTTGTGAATGGTAGAAAGCAGCTCCTTCTGGAGTTGCTAAGCTCAGAGAATGTGAATTTGAGGCTGCCCTGTGACCATCTTTCTCACTTGTCTAGGATCTACAAGTCATACAGAGACAAGCAGTTCCAACCCTCAGGGCCCTGATTATTTGCAACTATTGCTTTGAATCTGTAAGCTACTACAATAATCTCCCAATCCACCTAAGAAAGCCTATAAATTCCTTTTTGCTTAAGCTAATTCAAGTTGGATTTCTGTCACTTAAAATAGGAAGTTCAGACCCATACAACATTATTCCAAACTAACATGCCTACCCAAGCTAGATAATAAAAATGAAGATAGACCTGTATGGCAGTGCTTCTCAAACTTTAGCTATACCAGAATCACCTAAAGGTCTGAGGAGCTGAGATATTTTGTACAAGTTTCCAGGCAATGCTGACAGTGCTGGCTGGGGGATCACAGTTTGAGAACCACTGGATAGAGGAAACACCCTATGAAATCACCTCTGCATTTAAAATAGACTTTACTTCAACTTATCTTACGTAAAAGTATCTAACTGTATGTCTAATTACTCTAGGGAATGGCTCTCTAATCTGTTTTAATACTATGTCTCATTCATCCATGTTCATTCAGAAACTTTAAGTGACACGTTAATAGGCAAACATCTTTATCAATCACAGGTTTTTTTAAACTGGTTTCCTTATGGTGTCTTACCTTTATTAGTCTACCTTCATTCAGATAGCAGCTTGCAAAGCAAATCATTATAGAACATCAAACAGTCAACTATCCCAAAAGACATTATGACTTTATCGAAAATTATAAAATATAAATAATTTCTTTTCTAAGTCTTCAAACAAGCTTGAAAAAGAAATTAAAGGCTGGGCGCAGTAGCTCACGCCTATAATCCCAGCACTTTGGGAGGCCAAGGCAGGCAGATCATCCGAAGTCGGGGAGTGACCAACATGGTCACTAAAAATACAAAAAATTAGCCAAGCCTGTGGTAGTGCATGCCTGTAATTCTAGCTACTTGGGAAGCTGAGGCAGGACAATTGCTTGAACCCGGCAGGCGGAGGTTGTGCTGAGCCAAGATCGTGCCACTGCACTCCAGCCTGGGCAACAAGAGTGAGACTCTGTCTCAAAAAAA